TGGTGCAACAACCCCAACAAAAATATTTATGCATGTTAAATTTAAAATTTTGGGAAGGAAGGATTTGTAGAATGTGCAAACTTACTTAAGTGGGATGCCTTTGAGTGTAAAGGGGGTGGAAGATATACTAGAATGGAGAGTGAGTGCTAGAGTGTGTTATAATAGTGTATGAGAATTTTTTTCGGGTGTGTGAGCGACTAATGGAAACAAGAAGAGATGATGAGAGAATGAGAGCATTTAAAGACGATAGTTTCATTGCAAATTTCTTAGTTTTTTTGTAGGTTATGTGTAATTTTATAATTTGGTAAAATGTAATGGTGGATTGTTAAAGCGTGCTAGGCCATGGCATTTCACTTTTGAACTAGTGATTTTATAATGTAATCATAGTGTAGGTTAATGGTATCAGAAGTGTATTAATATATACATGGATAAATTACAGCTATGACTTAGATGAATAGATTTATTGCCCTTGAATTTTTTCAATCACAGAAAAATTTAGTAAAATTAAATTTTGAAATCACTAAGAGCATAGACATAGGGCATTGAGGTTTTTAAAAATAGGTTTTTAAGCTATTGATAGATGCTTCAAACTAGATTTGTTCCTGATTCATTAACTACAATTTTGTGATGGTAATATAATTTTATGTGTTTATAGCGGCTACTCCTAGTAATGTAGGTATTACCAATTTTCAAATATATTTTCTAATTATTGATTTAAAAAATTCACTAGGATAACAACACAAGTGCATGTATCGTTTAAGTGGAGATGACTTTCTTTTAGTCTCAAGTATCGATACCACGGAGAAGGAAAAACATATTTTTATAGACTTAGTAAAACTCTACTTAAACTGCAGGTAACTTATCTAGAAATTAAGATCGAAATTATATGTATAAAAAGGAGTACTTATACCTACTAATTCTATTTCTAAACTTAAAGAATATGTTAATTATTCGCAAACAAGCTTTACGTAGAAGAGTTCAAATTATATGGAAGTCCTTCCCCTTACAATGAGATCATAATCAGTATATGAATCAAATATTTTTAAATTTAAATGTATTATTGTGACAAATAGGAGCATACATATTTTTTATCCTCTTCTAAGTGTATAAAAAGACACAGAATTACATGATCACATGAGTTGTGATGATTAAAATTTTGATATAAATATATATAATATATTATTACATAAATAATATCGATTATTTCTTTATTTTGAGCAAAAACTAATCAAACACAATTGAACAAAAGGTTATTCATATTTAGTTCATTTATAATTCAAGTTTAAAAATTTTTTTCCTGTTCAGTTGACTTACTCAATGAATGATTAGAATAAGATCTACTTAACGAGTGTTCACGAAGAATGAGCATTTTTTATAACTCTAATTGTGCATTGTTTTTTTGGGTTTTATTTTGATACATCATTATGCTTAGGCATCATTTTTTATAACCTTCGTACAACAATATCTTATAAGGCATATAACTTTTTATGTATGCAAGGGTGCCAAATGGGTTGGTTTGGCTCATTTAAGCCCATCTAGTTTGATCCTTAAAATAACACGGGGATAACTTACATTCAAAAATTGGCTTTAAGCTGATTATCATTTCAATGGTTAATTTAGGCTGGCTCCCAATATAAAATATTTCTCCGATAAACTTTAATATGGAAATGCACTAAATATTTTTAGTTAAATCAAAATCATTTTGTACATATTGAATCAATGTGAAGAGTAGGGTACTTTCCCTGAAGTTTATTTGATTTATTGTCGCTGAAAAATAATATTGTTAATTTGGACCAATCTTTTTCATGTACCCTATTTCTATCTGAGATGCAAATGAGATTTCCTAAAGTTAGCATGATTTGCATTCATTTTTCTTTTAATCATTTTGACGACATTGCTATCTAGTATCTTCGGGCCCATTTGCAATCAATTTTGTTTTTTTTTTGTTTTGTTTTTTTTTTTAAATTTTGTTTTTTTTAGATTATGTTTGCTTATATTTTGTTTTTTTAAAGAATATTCATAACTTCTAAAATAAGGTTTTACGTATTTTCAAAAAGAACTATCATGATTAAAAAATATTTTAATTTAATACAAAACATAAAAAAAGATAAAAATAAAGCTAAAAGTAATCCCAAACAACACCTTCAAGTGCATCCACCAGATTACCTCTTCGATTATGTTTCATACTCCGCAACAGGATGGGTTTAAATACCCGCTAATAATCATGAAATTGAATATTTTTTAATCTTCTCAAATTTTAATATGAATGAGATCAAAATAGCAAGACATGAGTCAATATATACTTATTCAACTAAAGATGAGCCCACAATAAAAATAGCCAAAAAATAAACCTACTCATCTTTAGAAATTTCTCAGTCTACATTTGCGTGGACTGAACAAGCGAACTAATGTTATAAAATGAGAAACAAAAAATCTAAATTTGTGCAATAATTAACAAGAAAACGAATGAGCTAGGGACTAGGGTGTGTGATTGCCTAAAAAAAAAAAACAGCAATAAAATTATTGTAAAAAAAATAAAAATTGATTAATATATAGTTATTTCTATTTTAAATGTCACATAATAGCTTATAGCCATGATATAATACATTGATCTCTAAAATGCTACATTAATCATAAAAATTTCATTAGAAAATTAAAATTAAATAATAAAAGCTTGACTGTAATCTAAAATGTAGAATAATAAAGAAATTGCCCAAATAAACCATATATGATGCTTACTCTATTCGACAATGAACAGTACAAAAAAACCATAGATGATACTTTCATTTTATTTATTTTACTTTATTTTCTTTTTCAGAACACAGTTTCAGCGAAATTTTTAACCACTTCAATACCTGTTAGATTAATAATATTTTCTTAAATTTATATCTCGCAAACCCAAAAATTTCCTGCATACGTGACTAATGGTGCATTTTGGGCAGTTTCAGCGTTTCAGGATAAACAACTTGTCTTGAAACTCGATTCATATTTAGTGTAAAAATGAAATCACATTTTCGAATAAACGGATAAAACATGTGAACCAAATAATACAACGGCATTTCCAAATACGCTTCAGCATAAGTTCTTTATTTAAGAGATATATGATGTATAAATTTGGTTAAGCCGAACATCTATTTTATTTATTTAAATTTCCGGATTTCAACTTTCAAACAAAACCGTGTTCTGTTTCAAGAACCAATCATCCGTCACTGCAGTTAACAGTGTAGTGGCCCGTAAATCACAGAAGATATGCCCTCGAAACTGGGAGAAATAAGCGTGACCAGCCAGAACAAGAAGACGACAATCCACATCTCCGTCAATCTCACACAAATACTCACTCGAACATCAAACACCTGAACTATTTACACTATCTCACAAGAAGTTGCACGGATTTCATCGATCCAGCAGATTAGGGTTTCTATTCCCCTTTGTGTCTTCTTCCAATACCATTTTCAGCAGGCAGCGTTCACCATCTCGAAGTATCGCTGCACGGACTCCTGACGCTGAAGTCGTCGCTGCTCATATTGCGTTCTGATGAACGCCTCCGCTCGCCCAAATAGCTCCTCCCTTCCCACCGAAACTCTCCGAAACGTCTCCGACTTCCTAAACCTCCTCTCCAGTCTTACCTCCGGCGATGCCTCCAGAGCGCGGCCATACCTCTCCCAGGAATCGCTCTTCTTCATCCGAGGCTGCGCCGCGGAATCAGCCTTCTCGGCGCCCTTTTCCACGATAGCCTTCCAGGTCGCATCAATGGTGTCATGCGACTCATCGGGGTCCGTCCCTCCGGATTTGGGCGGATCCGGGTTGGAATCCGGCGGATCTGGCTCGGGATCTGGTGGAATGGCGCCGGTGATTTCCGATGGCTTCTGCGGGAATAGGATTTCTAATTCATTTTGTGCTGGGGGGTGGTAGTTCATGTTGTGATCGTGAAGCTTCCAGATGACGATGATGATGAAATGGACGGTGATGAAGAGGTAAGATGGCGAGAGCCAAGCAAAGGCGAGGGTTCTGATACGAGGGAGGGCGGAAGAGAGAAGATCGGCGGAAAAGGGCACCGCGGTTGAGGCGAGAATGATGGTTGTGGAGACTATTCCGACGAGGAGGAAGGCTGTTCTTGCTGCTGCAATTACTGTTGTTCTGAAATCTGTTGTTAGAAAATTTCGGTCTGAGGTAGCCATATTAGCTATAAGAGTGTGAATGAGAGAGGGAGATCAGAAGAGGGAGAATGAGAAAGGGGAGATCAGAAGAAAGACGCCATTGCCGACGAACGTGAAGCTATTAGAGTGAGGGAGAGAAAGAGAGGAGAGTGTAGAAAGTTCAGAATTTAAAACCCGGGTGGTTCGAATGGTGCTGTTATTATAAAGAAAAAGAGGGGTAAAGTTGGGGGAAATATTGCAGCTTACGGCGGAGGGACCGCTGGGAGGTAGAGTAGGCGGCGGACGATGATTTAAAAATTTCCAATGATATTGTACAAATTTTATAATTATTTGATTTTCTTAGTTTATAGACTAGTGTGAATAAGAATATAAATATGTCGTGTAATTTTAATTATTTAATGTAAGGAAATGAGAATTAATTCTTAAAAAAAATTTCACAATTGTATACTTTGATTATAAAATAATCTAAGTGTATTTTATGTTAGCATTTTCACGATTAACTTTTTTCCTCGTCAAGCTTAATTTATAGGTTATTTATAAGTCAAGGAAAAACCTGTAAACGAGCCGAACACGAGCGAGCCCAAGCTCAGTAAATGTTTGACTCGCTTATATTTCGAGCTCAAAAGGTATGTTTGTGTTCACCCCGTTTGCTTAGCCAACCGAACACGAGCTGTTCTCAACAAAGAGTCGTTTTGACAACCCTAATCACGTAGTCTTAAGATGTTAAGGGTTTGAACAAAATTTAAAAATTATTGTTTATATTAAAACTTCATTTGGATTTAATTTAATAATTTTCATTAAATTTTTAATTTAATATTTTTAACTGATTATAATTATTTGTAGCCTTATAGTGAATTAAATTTTTTTAAAATACTACTCATCAATATATATATATATATATA